ATGCAGAAAGAATTAATTATTCGAGCGCTAAACATTTTCGATGTTATTTTTGAGGCTTTTAAACAAAATAGAAGAATTAAATATTCATCCAATACATATTACGCCATCTAGTGGCCAAAACTGTAAATATTAACAAAACTGGTGAAGCCTGGTTGTCCACAGATGTCACAACACACTAATTGAAATTTTTTGTTTCGTTTTTTTTTGAAAAAATCGGCGAATATCAAATTTTCCATTAATTTTGCCATCATAAAATAACATGAATATGATTATCTTCTTTAGCTTAAGGTATACCTACTTCATTTTTTGCTCGTGCTAATCTACGACGTAATTGCAGACTTGCGGTCGTCCGCAAGCTAAAAGCCCTCGCAGCAATCTGCAACTTAAGTTAAGTCTGTCGCACATCTCAGCATCCAGCTTACGCACGCGAGCGATTCACGTCATATTTGCTTTCCTTTCATGTTTCGTCGGCTACTGCACTTTGCTCCCCAGCCACGATTGCAGATTTCAGCGCTGGAGGCTTTGCTTCCAATTCGATTTAATTTTCTTCTCTTAAGCTTTTCAACCGTATTAGTATATGTTAAGCTATCTTACGCTAAGCATCTATTGGCTTCCAGAAACGTTGTTCTTGAGTCATATGATTTTATCATCGACATTCAAATGCCATTTATGCGTGTAAGGTAATAACAATACGTTTTTATTTAATTTACGTTAAGTATTCGTCGTTGGTGGGCAGAAATTCTTGGCGTAAATAATTTATTATTTATGTTACTTACATTTTGATCAAATCGGATATCGTCTAATAATCACATTTGTATGCGGCCACGTTTTCGATTTGTTTCACACGTCGCCGCGCGTATTATGACACAATGTGATATGTGAGCACTACTCACACATAGATGACGCTAGTGCAGTAACGTGAAGAAGAAGCCATTTGTCATCGCAGGGCGCGAGTGCACAAATCATCCGCGGCGCAGATATTTCATCGATATGTGTTTTCTTCACGCCGGGCGTTCTTTCCACGCCTTCTATTTTCATTTTCCGCGCGCGCGTTCAAAAATGTAAGCACATTTCAAGGGGCAGGCGCTGCCTTCGAGCGATGAGTTGTGTGTAAAGCGTGCTGCGAAACAAACACGTCGTGCAATTCTATAAATATTAAGAGTTTTCAACGTCGTTTATCAAAGAACTTATTTTTACGAAATAAATTTTTAGAGTGTTTTCGCAGCGATAAAAAATTAATAATTTTTTATTGAAGCGTAAAAGAAACGTTTTAGGTGTGAGGGATGAAAATCTAAGTGCTCGCATTTATTATTCATCAAGCAATTAAGGTGGAATCGCTTTATATGTCTCCTTTTACAAGTTTTTTAGAGGGTGGGAAAAAATATTCAACTCTTAACCAAAAACTTTGTCATTTTTTTATATATAAAAAATAAAGTAAGAAAGCTTGAAGGGGTAGAGGAATAATATTCATATGCAGTCGAGAAGATCCCAATGGAATATTCACGCGCGCGCGCACGCCCTCCGGCGTCCGGAAATCTCTCGCGGGAAGAATAGATTTAATCGAAGAGCGAATATTGAAGTGGGTTTATGCATCGCACATCGCGCGAGTACATCGTGTTACCCTGTTACCGCGTGCCAACTACTCTACCAACACCACCCTCGGCACCCTTGGCGCGCGTGTTCCGGGACGTCTTCGACAAGTGTTGGTCTGATGATAATGCATCACGTACACCTCCAACGCGGCGCGACACTTTACATACTCATTCAGCGCCGCCATAAAGGAGTAGAAAGCAGCAGGAATTGCAGGAGCAGAAAGTCCCAAGCGTCCCCAAAAACCTCCAACACATTCGCACACTTGAGAATCCTGTTTCCATACAATTTTTTTTCTGCGACTCCTAGTTGTGGAGGTGGTTCTGAGCACGCTTTTCAGTACACTTTTTGTGTGCTTTATCCACTTTTATCTGCTTATCCTTTTGCTTTTCACGGCGGCACGATGTTAAGACGTGAGGATGTTCACCCTTAGGAAGCGCTTTTTTTATAGGTTTATAGATTGCCAGCTTTTTTTCCCGAAGACCCGCTTTGAAGAGATTCGCGCAATTTGTGTACACAAATGCTTAGAGCGTGATAAGTTGATCGAATTTTTCCGATCACTTCAATGAAGAAAACGTGGATGTTTCTAAACTATACAATACTATACAATGAAGTTGTTTCCTAGGAACTAAACCATATGGCGGTAATTTCGGTACTGTCGGTTTAAATTTGTTGGTCTGCGCGGCTATCCCTCGGCTAACCAGGTTGATTTTATTTGCTCGTCTTCAATTCAATTTCGCGCATTATGTCGGTGCATTATTGTGTTTTACGGCGTCTGCGGTGCATCGCACATTGTCTCGCCTGCCAGTACGGCCGCCACCGTCGTTGTAAACTGCAAGTCAGTTTTGTGTTTTGTAAATCCCGAAATTGAAGCATGAACAAGCGAGCCAGCCCGGAAGAGAGTGCTTTTCCCAGAGTCGTTACATTGTTGCGGGCGCGCGTTGCGCGCAACTAGCGTAAAACTAATATTTCCTCTCCGAATGCTCTTTCGCTTCCTATTCGCCTCTTCCGCTTTTCCGCGTTCTCGCAGTGAGACTCGGCCCTTCTGTCCAAACTCTTGACTGGCGCTCCGTCTCGCTGTATTCCATTTCCACTTAAAACCTGGATAGGGTTGAGATTCCACCCCTTAACCCCATCGAATGCAACGTCTACCAGCACCGAGCGACTGAAATCGAGACTGTGTTATTGAACAATGCCTAGGTTCCTAGGTAGGATGTTCCTTCAGCAGCGGACGTGTTAACAAAGGCAGATATATCCGCTGGTATTCGTCCACGTTCTTCTCCTCTGAGTGGGATGGGGTTACATGAACCGGGTGATTGTAACAATGTGTATCCAAGATCATTACGCGCTTGGCCGATCTCTTTGTACTTGCATCTTGAACAAATGTCACTGCATGTCTTAAAAAGTAACTTTTCACATCATCAACTCACCTAACTACTTGGTTGGGTTTCAATCATATTGCAGCCTGAATATATTGTTGACTACAAGTTGTTTAATCGTACATTCTGCTATTGATATTTACCTTCTCTAACAGGAGGTTGCGAGCTTGTTTTGGAGCTGTTCCTGCATTGCCAAGAACTCAGGAAGTTTGCACTGCGTTGCAACACAGTCAGCTCATATCCTTTCAATCTTGCAACACCTTCAAACCCTCCGGTTCCCAGAATTAGACCCCAACTGCAATTCGCTTCGTTTTGATACAGCTTGACTGGATAGAAAGTGCAAAGCAAACTTGGAATATAAAATTAATTAATTAACTAAGGAAATTGCTAATTAGCGCGGTAGTCAAATTAGCGTAATCTCTAATTATCCCCGAAATTCTATGGAGCGCTACCGAGACTCCTCCGGGGATCACCCCAAAATCCCCAAAATGCTAATTGACAACTTACACCTAAATATTTATTGTTTGCACTGTCAGATGAGACCTCTAATAATGTTATCTGTTATTGGATCATGATTATGATCACACGTCTTGGACGTCATCAAACAGAAGCGCGTAAGATGGTCCCCAGGGAGGCATACAATTATTCGCGTTCTTCACAGCCCCAATTGGGCCGAAAATTTACCTGCCTCGTTTATAATAACGGCCGCATTGTTGTTTCGGTTCTTGGGCTTCGTTCCCGACGGTGGGCTTTATGTGGGTAACATTGCTCCATCAAGCGGAAAATTTGCGCCTCCGCGTGACACACACAAAACACACACTCACACTGAGGGAACTTTGTATCAGTATCCAAAGGGTAGTAGACTTGGCCGTATGCTTGGTACACAAATGTTGGGCTGGCTAAACGCTTGGGGTTGGATGAGTTGGATGTTGGTTTACGCCGCCCAAATGAAAACTCAAAGGCTTTTTTTCTGCCGCGTTTGTTTATTCGTGCTGCCGTGGGTGCAGCGACAAAGGGGTGGCGTAAACGAAGCGTTCAGGGAGGATTTCGGTATTGATGCACACGCTTGACCAACCGATTTATGTTTTACGGTTTTAGCAAATACATACTTTTGGATTTTCTAATTTCGGGAAATTTTTCAAACTTTTGATGCCTAAAACACAAAAGTGCTATCACATAATTGTTTTCTCCCCTTGGTTGAAATCGAAATCGCTTTTCGAACGTGGAAACTTTTTTTGCCTCGCATTGTTCGAACTCAAATTATTCTCTTATTCCCCTCTTCCGCTGCGATTCACCACGATTCTCTAATACTCCAAGTCCAAGTCTAATTCGGTAACAATTTATCGAATCGACGCATTATGCTCTTTTATGCTTTTATCCGCGTCCCCAAGTTATCTATAAAAGTTTCTTCGAGGGAGAATTAATGAAAAACTTTTCTTTTAATAATTTTTTTTGATTTCAAAATGCAATTAAGACGGTATTATTGAAAATTCTATGTTCATTTCACAGCTGGGAAGAACTTTGTTAACTTACGAGATAAAAATGGAAATTCGAAGAAAATTACAAAATTAATACACATAGCGCCCTCTGTTGGCCACGTAACAAACAACTTTAATTTCAACAAGACCACAGCATAATCTTCAATATCTGTTCAATAGATGTCAGCGTAAGTTTCAATTGTTAATATTTCTTATCTTTGGTATGTGTGATTATTCAAAATATAGAACTTATTTACAAACTGATAACAGCAGACTTCGCTACAAGCATATCGATAATTTAATTATTTTCGGCACTTGAGCGGTGAGATAATGTACGCTTTTCAGAGCGTGTGTCTAATTTAAGAACATCTTTCAAATACTTACGATGACAACTCGACGCGTTGCGCTCACATGTGCTCAGTATAAATTCGGTTCAATTATTACTCGTGCTATTCATTAACTCATTAACTCTACAATTACATTGCGATATATAAAATACGAGTGTAATAATAACAATGGCAGTGAATGCAAGTCGAAATTATCCGAGAATTTTCGAAGAATTTGAAGGACCTGCCAAAAATGGAAAACCGGGAAGAAAATATTGGATTCAAGATGCTCCTGAAGAAATGTTTGATGAGATTGTTGAACATTTTGTGACTGGATTTTTAAAGGATGAACCAGTTTCAAAATATTTAAGTAATTGTGATCTTTTGAGGTAATTCAGTGTTTTTATTGTTTAAATTTGTTTTAGATGGTTTGTCAGATGATATAAGCACTCAGGAAACGCGCGTGATGCATAAGCATCTTCTCGAAGAAAAATGAGTCTGGTTTGTTTAACAAAAAATGACAAAGGTGACACAGTCCTAGCGGGTTTTAATGTTTTAAGTATATCGACACCTGATGAAAAAATTTCTGATATTAAAGTAATTTGACGAAAATATAGAAAAAAGAAAAACATAAATGAAAGTAAAATTATTTTAGGTTGACGGATGGTTTATCAATTTTATTCTGAAGTTTTTCACTTACCTGGACGCCCAGAGAAATGTCTTTCAAGAATTCGGTGTTGACAAGTGCTTGAAAGCTATGGGTTTGTATGTACTACCAGATTATCGAGGAGAAGGCCTGGGATGGAAACTATTACAAGCCAGGTAATTTAAAGTTATTAAAAATATTTGTTACTATTTCTTTTTTTTTAATTTCAGGATACCATTATGTAAAAGTATGGGTATCAAAGTTACTACCACCGTTTTTACATCGATAGTTTCCCAGAAACAAGCCTACAAAGCTGGTTTTCAAGATTATTTCAGCGTTGATTACGATGTTTTAGGCAAAACGAAACCAGAATTTAACATTCCCAACATTCAGGAACACACGAAAGCTGTTAAAATATTATACAAACTTGTAGATTAAATGTTAAACATTAACAAAATTAAGGTTTTTCTGAATATGTAGCCAAATATTTGAGAATTTTAGTACATTTTAATAAATTGTTATAAATCACAGTTGGCATTAAAATTAACAAAATTCCATAAGTCAATTATCCTAAAACCTCAAAAAATTTTAAACTAAAATATGGGAGAAGTGAAGTTAACTTCAGCGGGTAATTTTTCTTGTTTATATTGTTTAATAATTGCTAATTAACTATTTTTAGCTGCGTTTATCTCCTTGTTGGAGGAACCACGTCATGAGATTAAAACTTTTGCCCTCCAACGCCTGGATAACATTGTGGATGAGTTTTGGCCTGAAATATCAGAATCAATTGAGAAAATAGAGATTCTGCATGAAGATCAAGTTTTTCAGCAACGCGAATTAGCTGCTTTGGTCGCAAGTAAAGTTTACTTCCATTTAGGATCTTATGATGACTCTTTGAGCTATGCTCTAGGAGCTGGCGACCTCTTTCGAGTGAATTCTTCAAGTCAATATGTAGAAACATTAATAGGTAAGCAGGAATCTCTGTATATTCAGCTATAATATGATTTTTGTTCAAATAACTTGACTACTTCACATATAGATGGCAGTACTATTAAGAATGTTAATAAAAGAGTTGAATTTTAGTTAGCAAAACTCAAATATTTGCTAGGAAGTAATTAATTAGCTGGTTTGCGAAAAATAATATTGACATTTCATTACCAAATTGATTCGCTGGACTTTTTCAATTAATTAACTCCATTTTTTCCAAACAGCAAAATGCATTGATCAATACACCCAAATGCGACAAGCTTTATTCGACCGAGAGGAAACCATTGAAGCTGACCCACGCTTAGAATCCATCGTCAATCGAATGTTCGAACGATGTCTTTGCGAGCATCAATACCATCAAGCCATAGGCATCGCATTAGAAACACGTAGATTGGACATTTTCGAAGCTGCTATTACCCGATCCAACGACATACAAGAAACATTAAAATATGGCTACCAAGTAACAATGACCCATATCCAACATCGAGGCTTTCGTAGTAAAATCCTACGCCTTATGGTAAACCTTTATCGTACTCTGGATGTGCCCGATTATGTAAACATGTGTCAATGCTTGACCTTCCTCGCTGATTCCGATAGTGTCGCTCAAATCCTCGGCCGATTAATCGACGGTGATCTCGAAGATCAACTGACTGCTTATCAGATTGCGTTTGATTTGTACGACGCTGCTACACAGGAGTTTCTCAAGTTGATCATTGACGCATTGGAGAATACTCAAACACAAGCCGAATTGACTACGAGTGATTCTGAAGATCAACTCAATCTTCAGAGTGTGATTAGCATGTCGGACTCGAATAATTACAAGCAGAATGTCAACAAACTAAAGACAATCCTTGGTGGAGATGTTCCTATATTATTACACTCACAGTTCCTCATCAGGACTAATAAAGTGGACTATTTGATCCTGAAGCATACCAAGGAATCAGTCAGAGCAAGTATATGTCAAACGGCTGTTATCATCGCGAATGGTTTTATGAATGCAGGGACCACAAGTGATTTCTTTTTACGAGAAAATCTCGAATGGTTATCAAAGGCCACAAATTGGTCTAAAATGGTTGCTGTTTCTTCATTGGGGGTTATACACAGAGGTCACGAACAGAACGCATTGAATTTTATGGAGACTTATCTCCCGAAGGAAGCTGGAAGTGCTGGTTATACAGAATCAGGTGCCCTGTATGCTTTGGGATTGATTCATGCTAACCATGGAGAAAAGATTGTGCCTTATCTAATACAGCAATTGAAAGAACCAACGACCGAAACAAATTCGGTAAGTCGGAGACACATGAAAATATTTCGTGGTTTATTGACTCGGAATTGAAACAAAATGTAATTTTGTAGAACATCAAACACGGCGGTTGCCTCGGGTTGGGATTGGCCGCGATGGGCACGTGCAACGAGGAGGTTTTCTCTTTGCTTCGTGATCGACTTTTCGAAGACGACGCTGTCGTCGGCGAGGCCGCCGGCATCGCAATGGGTTTGGTCATTCTCGGGTCAGCAAATCAGGTTGCCATCGACGATTTAGTTGCTGTGAGTATAAAATAATGTTTACGTTTTAAAATATGTGATGAAGATGGATGTGTGCTTGTGGAATGACAGAAAAAACACAGAGTGTTGCAGAATATTAACTAACCTCAAATGTTTTGTACTTGGGTTCTGCTTGAATGACTTTGTATGTTGTTTCTGGTTTGCCTTGTTGACGTGCCGCTTTTTTTCTCTCATCAAACCAGACGAGGGCGTTTGACACGTCACCAGTAATTATCTCCTCAACTTCATTCCGCACGCTCTCGACAATTTTCACACCCCTTCCTAGCGTGCGCGTCGTAAATGACACTGCGTTGTAACCTGCTATTAATCATAACTAAACCGGCTGATTCTGACTCCTCAAATGGAAATGTTCACGCCGCTAATTCCCGGCTTTGTTTTTTGTTTGCAGTACGCACAAGAAAGCCAGCATGAAAAAATCCTGCGTGGTTTAGCCTTGGCTTTGGCTTTCACCATGTTCGCACGGCTTGAAGAAGCGGATAGTTTAATCGCTCGATTGATGACTGATAAGGACCCGATTCTGCGACGCTCTGCAATGCACACCATCGCGATGGCTTACGCCGGATCTGGCAATTCAATCGCGATAAGGAAACTTTTACACTTTGCGGTAAGTTATTTTATTTTTATACTTTGGAAACTTTTCGCAATTAATCAACTTGTTGCGAGGGCAATAAAAATACGTAATGCTATTGCATTTGAAGTGATTTGTTGGGTGCTGGAGAGTGCTTGTAAACAATTTTAATTAGAATCGCCTGACGCGTTTGCTGTTGGCGAAAGTTTTTGTTTACTACTGTGATGTTCGTGACGTAGAAACCAAACGCCGACGCAAGTTGCAATCTGGCTGGAGGTTTTTTTCTATACACCTCGGCAAGTATTTTAATAGTCAGGTGTAATTGAGAAGTTGCAAACATTCGCACTCATTGCAAGTACTTTACTTGACTTTTAATTAAGTTTAAATGAATCCGAACCAAATGAGCTCCATTTTTTTCCTCACAGAAGTCATCAGGAAGATAGACTCTTAATTTTTCTTTGAATATCGCCCTTCCCCTTCTCCCTTGCGATTAATTCGCACAAAAGATGTTGGTTTAATATTTCAACACACTTTGTTCTTGTTCGTTCATTTGTTTGTACATTCACTGCGGGTTGACATCGGAGTTTAATTGGAACGGGCCTGAAAGCTCTCGACGACATTATTTGGCGCTCGAAAGTTATCTCCGCTTTTGGCGCGCCAAGTAAAACACGCAAAGTTGAGTGAATTCAGACAATGTTCGGATTTAATTTGCGCGCCCGCGCGTTATTGTTAGAGTTGATAAACTGGTTAAAGACACACTTAACACTTGCAACTTTAGTGAAATAGCGCCCTTGCTTTGAAAATTACCATAACACACGTTGGGAGCCTGACCAGAGAATTTTTGGCGGCTTTCGAGCCGCCATTTTGTTACCATTTGTGCCGCACAAAGAAGCCGAGAGCAACAATATGCAGCGCGCGTGTTTAAATGGATCCAACGTGTTTATAATCGAGCGTGTTGGTTTGACGGAGAGCAAGGGGTGTTTTGTGTTGCCGCCCGTCAACACAGCATCCATTGGGATATTGTGCTCGATGTAAACGCAACGCAAACGCTGCGTAATTGCGTGCTTGCAGCTATTCCTCCGGAACTTACAAAGCCCGGCGCCGCTTTCGGAACGGCAATGAAACACACATGTGTGTGTGGGTGTGGTGTACCTCTACTCGCATGCAGAGTGACGATGTGCGTTTTGCTGTTGCAGGTTTCGGACGTCAATGACGACGTGCGACGGGCAGCTGTTATCGCGATTGGGTTTCTGCTCTTCAGGTGAGTGACAAAAATCTATTTTGGTTGAACTAATTTTAAAACAAGAACAAACGCAATTTATTTGATTCTGTATGTGAATCGGCATGATGGATGTTTTTGAAAAATCGTAATACCAGAAAAAATATATTTTTATTTAACTAGCTTTTGCCCGCGAATTCGTACTGGTTGTGTTTAATAAAAATGTAATTCATTTTTACTTTCTTGTTCTAGATATAGTATATGCCAATTCTATCAATAAGACTCGCAATTTTATTTTAAAGAAATTAATTATAAAAAGAATTGCTAATAATGCACTTCAGTGCGCCATTTAGGATTCAACTATTTAACTATAACTATGATTGAATCTCAATGCCAACTTTTATCTTATAGAAAAGGGCTGTCTTTAATGGTTTCCCGGCAATTATTCAAATTTTTCTTGCCGTAGAAACCATCCTTGGACTTTAACGAACATTAAAAAAAAAGAATTGGCCAAATTGGTCTAGGCATTGTTGAGTTATGCGCTTACCAACAGATTTTGTGATGCATTTTTATATTATAAATGCATCATATTATAAGTTGGTTTATTTGTGGAGTTTTTACGCTAAAATCCAATTTTAATAAAACTTTAAAAGAAGTTTTTTGGCCAAAAATAAAATGTTTATTGCAAAAATAGAAATTACTGGACGTAAAATAAGGATAAATGTTGGTTTGGATATTCAATCATCATTATATTTACATAATTCGGAATTCGCAGGTAAAAGCAAGCACAAAAATACCTCATTTAATAATTTGAGTGATTTTCACCAACAGCCATCATGCCTATTTAGATAGTTTAGCAAATTTGTGATTTGCGCGGGATTTATTTTTAGTTGCACTTTAAATGTTAATAATTCAGTTTTGTTCTGGTCACACGTCACATACGATCACAATACTGCGACCCAGGGACACAATCGATTTGTTTTGCGAACGGTTTGCGGCGGTTGATGTATAATTAATTAACGCTACCGCTGCTGGTGCTGTCTGAAAGTCGACGTTGTCAATTTTCCAACGTGGCTAAACTTTCCTGTTTGCTCTTTTGGTCTCTTTGTACTTGTCTTTGCAAAAAGCATCTGAAATATTTAGTGCCGCAAGTCCCGAAACCAGCAAGGACCTAGTCCTATACGTGTACAGATTGAAAATGACAAAAAGCTTTGTGCTGCACTTACTCTAGGGTTAAATAAATACTGAAGTAAATAATATTTGGTATTCCAGGCGATATCACTCACCTATTGTGATAAATTTGAAATTCAATTAAAGCGCTCTGAGTGCCATAATTGTCTGGGACGTTTCCAGGACGATTCCGCATCATGCAAATTTTATTGTTTTCATATCAAAGTTATTCATCCTGGTGATGCCTACGTACATTATTCACCGTTTTGGGGGAAGTTTGCGGAGGCGCGACGCGGCGTCGAGCGAGGTATTGCGGGAATTATTAATTTGCGTTTTGCAAGTTTGTCGAGGCTCAAGTTTTACGCGAACAATCCGCTCGCGGGATTATTGTTTGCCTGCAAATCGACTTGGCTGCAAGTTGAAACAAGTTGCCAACTCGGCGCTGGACTTAAGATAAGCAATTTAAAACGTAAATTTAAACTCGCAGAAATTCGCAGGAAATTGATAGATACTGATATAATCGATAGTTGATAGTTGAGAAGTGTGCTTGTAGATATTGTTCCACAAATTCAAATTATCACGTGATTAATGCCCGATAAATTACGTGCAATTTGACAGCATTGACAACCATCGCATCTGGCTGGCATGGCTGCGGCCGATATCTGAAGCCCAAAATTAATATCTTGCAACGTTTACCGGCCGCGCGCGTATCAAAACAATCGCTGTTGATGTTGGCGCAAACTTGGATTCGATTAATAATCGAATTAATTTATACTCGTGTCTGTCGGAAGCAATTTCGATCATTATACAATTTCAATCCCCTCACAGTTGAAATTTTAATACTCGTAGCAAATAATGAGTTGATTATTTTAGTGATTAATTATGTTCTTTGTAGATTAAATTTGTTAAGTACTTTAATATCCCAAAATGCGGTGAAATAATATTTTACGATTGTTGCTTGGCATTTTAACGAGTTTAATCTATTAAAACGAAAATTTGATTGCAATATTAATGCATTATTGTCGGTACTTTAGGCGACTTGTGACTAATGGACGCGGGTCAATATATATATATAGATAGTTCTTAGAAGATGGGTTTCAAACGTGCTTCTATTTCAATGCTATTCATATTCATGGGTTTTGAATGTCGATGAGAGGGTAAATATACAGGGTGTTTATTTTCAGTTAACCCTTATGTATGTCATAACTCTTTATAGCTGGTCCATTGAAGTTGAATCGTAGGCGTCGTCAAAGTGAATGCTTTCAGTTGGCGTTTTGCGTTTTGCAATTTTGCGTATTGAATCACCACCGGCTGGTAGCTGCTGGTGGGTCGAAGTGGTTTTCCGATCGGCGGGTGGGTGCATTGCGTGTCTGAGCGGCGCACGGTTGTTATTCATGTATGCGCAAAATGCGAAAGCTCGCAAACGCGTTTGCACCATTTCTGTTCGGCGCGTGTATGCATGTAGGAATATATTTACGCCCAGATTTATCTGATTCAATCTATCCGCAACGCACGTACCCGCCGCTTCCTCCTGGGCTCTCATCTATTGAAGGATATAAAGCGAGCCCCGAAAAGAAGACGCCGCACGCGATGTGTACGCAAAATAATATTTTAAGTCACGGCATTGTCGGTTTATCTCTTTGGTGAATTCGCGCATTTATACTGCTAAATTTAGCTTAAGCATTAAATAAATAACGCAATCATCTGATTGTGGAAGTATAACTCCGTGTTTGATTCCAACGTAGATACAAACATTGCAGGGGATGAGCAATGTCAAAGCCGGCAAATGATATAATTGCATGTTGTACGTTGTTGTTTTTTTTCAGCGTCCGCGTTCAGCGGATTAAAACCAGATTTAATTTCGCGTGTGCTGCTAGGTGGAATAAAATCGTTTGGTGTACGAGTATGCATCGCCTTGATTTAATGGCTTCTATTACAAAAGTAAATTTAATTAAAAATTTCCACTCGCCGCCATTTTTCCCAAGTCAAATTCAGAATTCTGTAATCCAGTAATTGAATTGGGAACATTCCAGTGTAATTTTGACACATCTAGCGGCGCTTTTAAACGCAATCAAATCTAAACCAAGAAACTATTTTAGTTTGTGGTATTTGAAAGGCCTATTAAGCTGTTGTGGTACCCGCCCATATCTTACACGCAAACCATCAGCCCACATCAGCCCACAAACTTTTCCATCCAAGTATAGTGCTGAAATGTAATCTGTGTAGTCACGAAAATGAAATTCCTCGAAGTTTTCATCGTATCCCAACACTATGATTAGTTGTTGTGTGTGTTTTAGGCGTTTAAAACTTTGTTGTCAAAGTTTTACCTTTTTTTTTTGATTTGCAAAACTTAGTAATGTTTCATTATTAGTTGCAGTTTATTGCACCCTAGTGTAATGTCCTTTTAAACTGTGACACTATAGTAGTAATATTATGGTTGCAATAATTATGACACCTCCTTGCCGAGTCCCTTTGGAATTATCCCAAAGCAACAACTGGGATTTCAGCCATAATTTAGTTGTTTACCTCGAGCACCAACTAGGCAAATACGTATTTATTTATTTAGATCAAGCAGCTTGTTGACTGAAACACGAGCCGCCGACTGACCTTCAATGACGTGCTTGGATGCCACGTGGCATCTTCCTCACTAGTTGCTGATAATTAGTTGTCGCCAACACCAAGGACTACTTGTTTACGCTACAGGACACTAGAGATTTGAATGAACCACACGTGTAGCCTGTAGCTAAATCAATCGCTGTTAATTTTTAAGTCAAACAAGATGTTGAAGGTTAATAGGATAACCATTTGAATGGGGTGTTTAGAAACCGCATGATCATTAACTAAACTATTCTCTCTCAGGTTGTCTCTACTCAGTCTAACCTCCAAAGTCATGTGTTGCTGTTTGTACTTATGTGGACTTATTCACATTCACATTTACATTCACATTCAACATCTCCCCTTTGTCTGACTGTCGACTACGAAATCCTACATTTCTATTGTTTCAGTTTTTCTTGACTGATTCCACACATACTGAGTGCTCTCCTGCTCTATTCTGTTATTCTGGCGAATAAAGGTTAAGTAAATGGTGCACTCATTAAGTTTGGTTATGATAAGATGATTTAAGATAACTTTGCTTGCAGTCTGGTCTGTTTTTGATAGTTTTTTCAATAGTCTGGTTGTTTTTTCAAGCCGGAATAGAGGTATCAGCTTCACGGGAACTGGAATAACTGAATAGGGAATTGCGAGAGGGCGCACATGGCGAGCGAATGTAAATATTCGTGCAGTTGACAAGTTAACTAGCTGCTTCTTCTCGATGCTTCTCCGCGCGCGCTATTCGTTTGCATCCCGAATGCGAGACTATCCTCTCCTCATGTTCAAATGATGTAACTTTATTGCGACGTGGAACAAAGCGGGAACCAACGACTCGAGACGTAACAAATGGGAATGTAGATATATAGATGTGACAACTTTTGTATGAAGAAAAAGTGAAACTAGAAAATTTCTTGACTCCGGCTTGATTTTCGCAGTTTTATGTGTGTTTGTTGAAAGCTGGCACTTTATGACGATCGTAATTCTCTCGAGTCGAAGCAGCCGCCAAGATGCACTGTCTTTGTTCCAGCGTTCACAATATCTTCCGGATTGAGGTGGATGTGTGTGTGTGTGTTGGCTACTTACTTGTCGCAACACGTCGTAACCCACGTAACTGCTTGACGCGCGCCGCTGCTATCAACCTCATCCCTCCAGCAAGCATTAAAGCAACATTACATGAGCATTACGATCGCTCGTCCCTTGCGACACCCTCTAAGCCCAGCCAACAACTTCAGACCCAAGGTGTCACTATCGACCTCGCTTCTGAACGGGTTATTATCGCA